CACACACACACACACACACACACACACACACCGCAGCCTGGCGACAGCAGCACCAGTAACTTGGGCTACATACACTTATAATGGGAGCGGCCGTGTTTGTCGCTAGCTAGCTAGCAGTGTGGAGAAGTTGTCAGGAAAAAGTTTAGCTCAGTTGTCTCATCTTTCACAAGTGAAATTGAGGTAGTTGTTTGACTAATTGTTGTTATGACCTCTGTTTTTAATTGTAGATACATTTGGAAAGTTGTTGTTTTTTTAGTTTAGAAGTGAGCTGGTTTAGCGTAGCAGTGGTGATTTATTGCCTGACGTTTCCCGTGACAACCAAGCAGCTCTCTAGCGTTAGTTGGCTAAAGTAAGTCCTTCACGCTGTAGTTTACTTCACGTGGGTTAACATATGATTTGAGATATACATCATCTGAAAGCTGAATAAATAAGCTTTCTATTGATATATGGATGGTTAGGATAAGACAATATTTGGTCGAGATACAACTATTTGAAATCTGGAATCTGAGGGTGCAAAAAAATCAAAACATTGAGAAAATCACCTTTAAAGTTGTCCAAATGAAGTTCTTAGCAATGCATATTACTAATCAAAAATTAAGTTTGGATATATTTACGGTAGGAAATTTACACTCTCTTCATGGAACATGATCTTTACTTAATATTAGGGATGCACGATATATCGGCCACCATATCGGTATCGGCCCATATCGGCTCATTTTTTCTGTTATCGGTATCGGCCTGATAAGAAAATTTGGCCGATATCTTAAAGCCGATAAATAATGCATTATTTCCTTCAGAGACACTTCAGATGCGCGCTGTTCGTTTGCAGCCTTTTGTGCAATTGTACATTGTAATATTGTGTTTATTTGATGTATATCTGATTTATCTCATATAGAATGCGTTTGGTTAAGTTAAAAGAGCGCTTCAGTTTACCAGTGATCATCTTTAGCTCAGCACACGCAGCTCAAACAGCAGTGCACAACATTAATAACTATGATTGGGAATGTCATGTATATAACATTCTAATGAGAACATTATCATAATAAAACGTTGTGAATTCTTTGGGTTTAGTTGCCATGTTTCAGCGCGTTGTTATGGGAAGAGCGCATCCACAACAGGATCACACATTCTGACTATAGCATGCAATAACTGCGTCATTTTGTACATATATAAGTTGTAATATTATGTTTATGTTGTATTAATATTAATCTCAGGATGCATTTCCTTGAGTTAAATAAGCTGCCAGCAAAACGCTTCAGTTTACCATGTTCATTCAGCTCTTCAGCTTCAGCACGCGCAGCTCAACGGCTGCTATTTAAAACAGTGGTATTAATTTGTTACTTTTTCAAAATCATTGATACATTATTAATAACAACAACCACTTGTATTTTTCTCTTATTATTTTCATCAACAATATGGTTTAGTAATTAAAATCATTTAATTATTGTCCGTGCAGAGGCTATTCCGTTTTATTGATCTATGGCGCATTCATTTTGATTCTTTACACGTGTAATGATGTCCAGTGACTTGTTTGCATTATTTATGCATAATTTTATTTATTTGTAAGACTTTATGACTAAATTTGGTAATGGGAGAGTAAAAATATTTTTAAAACGTACACCGTTCAAACTAGGCTGCTTATGTTGAAGTGTTTGGGATGTGGCTTTTAATGATGAGACCTTTTTTGTAATCAGGCTCTCAAAAAGTATATAACAATTTGGATATAGATTTATCGGCCAACATATCGGTTATCGGCTTTCAAAAATAAAGAATAATCGGTTATCAGTATCGGCCAAAATTTTCATATCGGTGCATCCCTAAAAAAAAATACCGTCATGTACCGTGAAACCGGTATAATTTTGAAAAATACTGTGATATAAATTTTCGGTCATACCGCCCAGCACTAATTAGAACATTCAAGCAGTTTAAAAAAAAATTTTTTTTTAAATGTGCCATAGAGAAAACATTGCTGGCGTGCATCACGATACAAATCAATGGCAATAACATTTTAAGATATGTCAGTGCAAGTTAATTTCAGTTAAGACAGTCTTGCACCAGGCTTAAGCCTTGTCTATGAATCTGCGCATTAAAGATGTTTTTAGATAAAATTCTGTGTCTGTCCCTCCACCCGAGCAGGCCAGAATACAACCGAGGAAAAATAGGTCAGGCTTAGCATTTGCTTGAGCATAAATTTATGATTTATTTCTAAAGCCCTTAATTTAATTTAGAAGAACGAGTGATAGACTGCAGTGACTCAGAGAAAAAGTCTCAGACTGATGGATGTCACTGATGCCCGTTTTCCACCGAAATTGTGCTGGTTCTCATAGCCAGCAAAACTGCAAACAACTCGAGAACATGCAAAGATTTTGTCTTATTTAAACACATTTTAACATCCAGTGCTATTTAATTCAGGATCGACGCAGTTTTGACACACCCATCAAAAGTTACAACGGTCATAACTCAGTCAAGTAACATCCATAAATGTTTTTGGGTAGACGGAAAAAGTCAAACCAAGTACCTAATTTTTTTTAACATTCACTTACGCCGGTTGCAGTTTCTGGCCCAAGATTACCATGTTTTAGGTGGTGTAGCCAGTTTTTTTGAGGTGGGTTAAAGGGGGCTTTGGAGGTGTGGCAAAACTTAGCCAATCACTATAATTAATCAATATAACCTAATGCTTGTGAACTTACCTGAGGCCTCTGCTTGTGCTGTGACTGGCTCTGTGTCTGACCCTGCGTCTGCTCCCAGTTGCCCCGGGCCCGGCTTCCGCCCACTGAAGTCATCATTTACAGTATATACAAATAACAGTATTTACAAAAGGAATAACACCTTTAAAAGAGAAGCAGATGGGAAAATGTTACTGACAACTCTCCAAAAAATTCAAATAACAATCGTAAAAACATCACACGGTCTCGACAAACCACTGAATTAACATTAAATATGCATGCAAATAACAACGCTACACCATGTGTAGCCAAAACTGGAAGTAAACAACGTTGCTGCCTGACGCACTACCCATAAAGCGACGGCCCAAGTTTACCAGAACACCAACAGAAATTAAATTCTAGGAACTTAGAAAGCTTTGAAAAACAAGACCAAATACTGTTTACAAGTCAAGCTGCAACAAGTCAACCATAAACGCGCTTCCGGGGCTCAATATCCTCAGTTTAAAGCTTCTTTAAATGCACACAAAAACACCGTAGCCCTTCACATTTGGATTAAAATTACACCAAAAACTGTCCACCTGATGCAAGTTGCGAAATATTGCATGTGTGGTTATGCCAAACAGCCCACCGTAGCAGCTCTGCGCATAAGGAAATGTGGTGGAAGAAAGCAACTGCGCACTTTAGATCGCGCACAGAATCGGCCAGCGTGATAGAAGCACGCGGGACCAGCCGCGGGAAAACAGACGGACAAAGCTGAACAACAACAACAAAAACTCAACGGCCTTTGAACGGGCTGAGGGCGAGGATGTAGCTGTCAAACTGAGACCATGTTGGAGACGTGAACACAACCACACAGTCCATGGGTGAAAGTCATTTTATATTTCTTGAGCACTCACACTATTCCATACAGTAAATAAAACAAGGATATATGCAACAAGTAAAGTGTCTAGGAAAAGCAGCACATAAAAGGCATTCGTTTCCATGCATTGGAACGTAAACATTACCTAAGAGTATTCAATCTATCTGTAAAATAAGCATCCAACAGGTAACCTACATTACCTGTAGTGCTCTACATCAGATCTGCATACTGGGAATCCCATATTAACTTACCGACTAAAAAGTAAGCAACTGTATAAACTTGGTTAATAATAGAAAAAAAAAATCTTAGGAGGTGAAGGATTATGATAAGTCCAGGCGATGGGCCTTGGAAAAGCAACTCGATATAAACTCAAACATGCAGATCTAACGATACGATATGAAAAATGCGCACAGTTTTTTATAGTGTTAATAGGTTATTGATACGTTAAATAAAATAGACAAGAGCTAGATTATGGGTGGCTTCCGCTCTGGCCGAGTCTAATAACCTCATGGCCGGTTATCGGGCATCATGATGCTGCTGCTGCTGCCCCAAAATTAAACTTTTCCGGTTGCTAATCAACTATATGGTTTCTCAGCGTAGATTAAAGAATAGTTGGGTAAATTGTTCGTTAGATTATTCGACACGATAATATTTTGCGTCTGCAAAACTGGAATGCACACGCCCCCCGGGGTGAGGCGCACTCCCGTCGGTTCCCCTGTACACTCGACACCGAGGCTTCACCGAGGCCTACAGGCCCCGAATGATAAAAAATGAACAACAGGCGAGGTACTAACCAAAGACCCGGCTGGATGTCAGAAATGTGGAGATAACGCCGACCGACGGAGGCTTTATTGTCGACCTCCTAATCAGACGGAAACAAAACACGAACTCCTTCGCGTCCTAAATCGATTCCCCAAAGCCGACAACAAGGCCGAACCGACTCGCGCAGACAATAAACCATATCGGTTATCGGCTTTCAAAAATAAAGAATAATCGGTTATCGGTATCGGCCAAAATTTTCATATCGGTGCATCCCTACTTAATATTCATGATTTTTGGCATAAAAGAAAAAATCAATAATTTTGACCCACACAATGTATTTTTGGCTGTTGCTACAAATATCCCCCAGCGACTTGAGACTGCTTTTGTGCTCCAGGGTCACACATATGAGAGGCAAGAATAAAATTAAAAATTAGTTTGAATAATTAGACGTGATATTGGGACAGCTCAGCTGAATTGTGCTGTTGTGTAATCCGCTTCAGATAACTCTCGCTAGAATCTGCTAGACAGCGTGTGCTTTCTCTGACAGCCTGTCAACGTGCGTGACTCCCGGGCCTCTCGAATTAGCCTGTTAAGCACAAGTACATTAATCAGCGAGTCTGAAATTGAAAACATTTATCATTTAGTCCTTTTTGCTTAATTGACAACGTTGTTCATGCTCTAGAAGGAGTGTTTCATTCTTTAAAAAATACTTGTTTTTTCCTCTTCTGTAATTACATTTTCCAGGTGGTCTTCATAAAGAAACTTGAGCCCTTTGCCGCTCTGAACATTCGTCAGTACCAGTATGAGAAGAAATTTGACACATACTTTGCAGATGGAAAGATATATGCACAGTTCAGGTATGAACTTTTTTTCAGCAGGGATGAGAAAAACGATCCTTTTGACAATATTCTGTATATGAATGTATTTGCTCGGTAATTGTTTCAACTAAACATTCACTGTAGATGGAAAAGTTTTACTGTAAGAATAAAATGGATGAGATGCATTCTGTTGAAAATAATCAAGGCAGGATTCCCATGTTTTTTTTTCTGAAGAACCACAAAGGAAAATTGATTTAAAAACTATGCTTATATGTTCCCGAACATATTGTATTAAAACAATAATGTAACCATGCACAATAATGAGCTGCAACATTTAGCTAAATTTGTTGTGCGGATACTTAAATCTATAAAAAAATGGCACAGACTTGGATATTTTTGAGCCTGACATGATATAAGTTGCGACATTTAGCTAAATTTGTTGTGCGGATACTTAAATCTATAAAAAAAATGGCACAGACTTGGATATTTTTGAGCCTGACATGATATAAGTTGCACTAGTTTTGAATCCACTCATTCAAATGGACAACTCTGACGTCGTCTTTCGGCAGTTTACTTGCCAAATAAAAAGTGCAGCATTGCCAGTCCTGTTTTTCAGCTAACAATCAACAATATTTGAAATGTGTTCCTTACAAGCTCTTTTACAACAAATGCAGGAAGATTTTGTTACATGAATGTCCACAATGCCCAGAACCAAAAGTGTTCTCCAAATTTGAAGAATTAGAACAGCATATGCGGAAACAACATGAACTCTTCTGCTGCAAGTTATGTGCAAAGCACCTAAAGGTAGTGTATTGCATTTTAACAAATAATTTTGTTTGCGCGCACCTTATTCCTTCAACGAATAGTTTGCTCTGTGTACAGATATTCTCATACGAGAGGAAATGGTACAGTCGGAAAGACCTGGCTCGTCATCGAACGCAAGGGGACCCGGACGATACCTCGCATCGTGGGCATCCGCTTTGTAAATTCTGTGATGATCGATACCTGGACAACGATGAACTATTGAAGCACCTGCGGCGAGATCATTACTTCTGCCATTTCTGTGATGCAGATGGAGCTCAGGAGTATTACAGGTAAAAGACCAGTTCTGGTTCACTTTTCTTTCTTTTTTTTAAGCTTGTTAATTTGGTTGTTAAATTGTTACATTTATTTCCAAATGCAACTCACTGTAGCCATGTTTACTGTCATGCACCCAAATGATGCCTCAATTGAACTGAAAAACCTTTCATATAAACCCCTCAATCGTTTTAATTGAGCTCATCTTGAATAAAATTTCAGTCTAATTGAAAGGGGTGGCGTAGACCTGAAATCATCCAAAAAATTAAGGCGAATGAATAAAGACAGATCGCCACAAAGACCTTTAATTTTCTGTGTGTATATAACAATATTTTTATTAAGTGAATTGGTGAAATGCTCGTAAAATGATTCTCAGAGCAGCTCTGGAGATAAAGTTTATGCCCTCATATAGTGAAATGGCAGATGCTAAAAAAACAAATCCCAAGCATCACACATGCTTCAGTGTGTGTACTAACTGGGGCACTCATTTAGACGGAGACCTGCAGAACATGCAGACTTCATGGCGGTCTTTTTGCACTGTAATATTCACTTAATTTAAGTATTATTTTTGTCCTATAGCGACTACCAGTACCTCAGCGAGCACTTCAGAGAAAGCCATTATCTCTGCCAGGAGGGCCGCTGCAGTACAGAGCAGTTCACTCACGCTTTCCGCACAGAGATTGACTATAAAGCTCACAAAGCTGCTGCCCACAGCAAAAACCGGGCTGAGGCACGGCAGAATCGCCAAATCGACATTCAGTTCAACTATGCACTCAGACAACAACGACGAAATGGCGGTAAAGCTGAATTTGCTCTTTCTGTGAGTTGGATATAAATTAGGGGTCGCATGCCTTAATCAAGCCCATCTGGATGTTTGTTTTAGGTCTGATAGTTGGTGGCGATGACTATGAAGAAGTGGATCGCTTCAACAGACCGGGAAGACCAGGAAGAGGACGAGCACCAGGAGGACAGCAGAATGTCAGGAGCTGGAGATATAATCGGTAGGTCCTCATCAGTGCTGCATTCTGACATATGAGAGAGCTTATGGAAGACTGAGAGAGTTGTTGTCCTCAGAGAGGAAGAGGACAGAGAGATTGCAGCTGCTTTGCGAGCTTCGATCACCAGCCACCAGCAAGAGAGAAGCCATGTGCAAGAGAGAAGCCATGTGCAAGAGAGAAGCCATGTGCAAGAGAGAAGCCATGTGCAAGAGAGAAGCCATGTGCAAGAGAGAAGCAGTCAGAAGCCACACAAAGAGGAAAAGATGGAGCCTGATGACATGAGAAACAACAGAGGCACTGCCAAGCAGACGAACGAAATACAAGGTATGGCAATCGAAAATGTGTATTTATTTATTTATTTATTTGGAAGTTGATGAAATTGCATGTTTGAATATATTTCAGCTCGATCAGTGAAGAGTAATCCCTCTTTGGCTGGTCAGGACTTCCCTGTTTTAGGGGCAGCTGCACCTCCAGCCCCAATTCAAAGGTACTGTATGTTTGTCCTGTTTTTAGTAAAATGGGTCTCTTTTATGTATTTTTTCCCCATGTAGGAATACTAAGATAATTTATTTTTTAAAGGTGCTTGCTTTCTTGATTATTTATTTTGTCCAGATATGAATTAATTCAAATTTGACATGAATACACTGCTTTCTGTGATTATTTTTAATATCTGTATTGAAATTTAGATTTTTGGGGGACATAAAGTCAGAAAAGTCAGACTGATATAACTGTCTTGCAGTTGTTCATTTAAATAAAGCAAAACATTTTTTTAAATATTAGAAAAACTTGAACCTAAATGAGAAATGTTGCCTTGGCAGCTAACTGAAACAAAAAAAGTTTAAGTTAATTAAATTAAAGCGAAATAAAAGTATAAAAAAATAAATAAATAAAAACAAAATGAATTAAACCTCAATTAAAATAAAAACAGTAAATAACAAATAATATAAAAATATATGCTAATTTATACGTTTTATAATAGTACAGAAATAATGCTAAACTTACACTAGCTTAAATCATTATTTCATAAAAATGTTTTTTTTCCTCCAAATAATAGTCACGTGGTGCAACCGAAATGCAAAACAACTTCCTTTTTTTTTTTTTAATGTCTGATTTGTTTCGATTTTTTCTTTTTTTTTTCTTTTCTTTTCTTTTCTTTTCTTTTTTTAAATGGGCATAAATTAAAAAATGTCAGGCTGATACAGCTGTCCTGAAATCATCATGAAAGAAAGGGGCCACTGAATTCTTGAAAACGAATCCTTAAGTACTTTGATTTGCTGGACATAACAAAAGATTATGCTAAAGTCATATGGTGCAACCAACAAAACGGGAAGTGGTGTTCCCTGTTTTGAGTCACTGTTGTATTTGGAGTACATGAAAGCTGACTATTTATTGATGGCAAGCAATGTTTTTAATAGACTTAGGCCTGGTATTACAGACAGGGCTTAGTTTAAGTCAGGATTAGGCCATAGTTCAATTAGGACATTTAAGTTTATAAACATGCCTTAGACAAAAACAGTACTGGTGTGCATCTTAAGACAAAACAATGAAACTGACATTTTAAGATCAGTCAGTACAAGTTACTTTCAGTTAAAACAGCCCAGACATGCATTTTAGTCTGGGACGGGACTGGACTTAAACCTTGTCTATGAAACTGAGGGTTAATTGTATAAAGCCAGTATCTGAGAGAATGTTGATATAAATATAATAGATATAATACTTTTTTTTTTTTTTTTTTTTTTAAACACAAAATGGGGTTTTTTTTTTTTT